AAATTTGTTCAATAAAAATGTGGGTTATGTGATGAGATGGAAACTGGGAAAATGTGAGAATTGTGCAAACATATATAAACTGACTTTATCAGGAAAAAAAGAACTATAAAAATTCTTAAGTTTATGCGCCACTTAGCAGAGCTCCGGTAACAAAATAATTTATTTACGGAGATATTTTTATCTTTTATACCCATAACATTGCTATAGAGTGTATGATATCACTTCGAGAAGGATTATATTAAACAAGTGAAAAAGCTGTAAGTTCGGCCAGGCCGAACTTTGAATACTCTCCACCATTTGGAACGAATTTGGCAATTCTCAAAAAAACAAAAAAAAAAAAACAATAAAATCAGTTAAAAATTTTGTTAAAATCTTAAAAATACGTAATGTAACTACTATTGTTATTAGGGTCTATACGACGACATGGACCTGAACAGGTAACATTTGTCATAAGTTATTACAATATTCAAATGCGAAACTTAAAAAAATCTGTAATAATATAGATAAAATCGTCAAAATACCGAATATCGGCAGGTACCGTTATAAGGGAGCTCTACGAAGACGTGGGCCTGAACAGGCAATCTCCAGTCATATGCTGTGCTATCCATTACGAATATAAAATACCAAATTTGAAACAATTCCGGTGAATATTGTCGCTATAATCAACAAAGTATCGAATATCTGCAGGTACCGTTATATGGGGGCTCTACGAAGACGTGGGCCTGAATAGACAATCTCCAGTCATATGCTGTACTATCCATTACGAACATAAAATACCAAATTTGAAACAATTCCGGTGAATTTTGTCGCTATAATCAACAAATTATCGAATATCGGGAGGTACCGTTATATGGGGGCTACACGAAGACGTGGACCTCCAGAGACAAATTTTCTCTCTTAGGCTGTAGCATCCAATACGAACTTAAAATACCAAATTTGAAACAATTCCGGTGAATATTGTCGCTAAAATCAACAAAGTGCCGAATATCGGGAGGTACCGCTATACCAAAACGTTAGGTCCACATATTCAATATCAAAAGTCCTGCAGACATAACATATATTTGAGTATAATTTTATCAATCTACTTCAATTCGTTCGGAAGCTAGAGTGATTTCCACAGACGGACAGACGGATGGACATACCTAAATCGACATATAATTTTATGCTGATCAAGAATATATATACTTTATCTGGTCTAAAATGTATATTTCGACGTGTTACAAACGGAATGACAAACTTAATGTACCCTCCATACTATGGTGGCGGGTATAAAAATATATATCGGAACCGAGTTCCACCATATGAAAACGTACGTCCCGTAATTCAATCCATTTGGGCTGATACTAGCCATTTGTTGCCCAAAAAACCCTGAAATCGGATAAAGGTATATATTGGAGCTATATCCAAATGTTAATATCTGATAAAATTTGGCAGTGGTATAATTATGGTATATAATTCTTGTGTAGAACATATTACGAGGGACTTAAAATCCCAAATAGCTTCTAGGCTGAGTTCAGTAGTACCTGCATAACTTACTCCATTAGAGTTGATATTAGCCATTTGGTGCACAAAAAAAAAAAAATACAGAAATCGAATGAAGCTATATCCAAATCTGAACCGATCTTGATATATTTTTCTGGGCTGTATCTGATATCTGGTACCAACTCGCATTATTGTGGAGTGCATATTACGCATGTGCGGTACTTTAACACCAAATTGGAAGAAACATAATATATATTGGAGCTATCGATATGTCTGAATCGTTTTTCACCAAAAACTAAAGCGCTAGCTTTTAGGCTGGATTCCGTTGGAGGTGCCTTCAACCGATTTTCACCAAATTTAATGTACTTGATCCTATACAAAATTCGGTCGGATATGCCAAAATTTAGGTCATTTGGACTGATATTGGCCATTTGGTGCACAATTAACCGGAAATCGGTTGAAAATATATATGGGATCTATATCCAATCCAATACCGATCTTGACAAAATTTGAAACACTTATTTCATTGCTGTATCTGATACCTAGTACCGAAGATCATTTTTGCGGAGTCCATATTACGCTTGTGAGGGACTTTAAACCTAAAATCGGATAAAAACAATATATGCGATCTATAGCAATATCCGAACAAATTTAAATTTGAAATTATTTTTTTTGTAGGAATTGCCAAAATTCAATCCATTTGGGCTTATATTCGCCATTGGTACACAATAAACCTTATATCGGATAAAGATATATATGGGAGCTATATCCTAATCTGATCTGATCTCGATTAAACTGGACAGAGGTATTTTTCGGATCCATAAGTTATCCAGTGCCAAATACCATTCTTGTGGTGTGCGTGTGAGGGACTTTACACCCCAAATCGGTTAAAACACATGTAGGGGGCCACAGCTACAGCTTGTTTCCAGGATGAATTCAGTTATAATTGCCAAAATTCAGTCCATTTGGGCTGATATTAGTCGTTTAGTCCGAGCTATATCCTAATTTAACATACGTATTTTCGACCAGTATCTGATGCCCGGTGCCAAATATTATTCTTGTGACGTGCATATCGGAAGATATCGTAACATAATATATATGTTTGCAAAATTAAGGCGTACGTACCCCATTTGTATTGGAGATATGTGCAAAATAAATCATAACTAAAGGAGATGTGTAAATTGACTTACATAGAGCGATGTTCATCGAAAATCAATAAAAGTAACTACAGGTACATCCAAAAAACAGGATAATTACTTGCTTGGTTGTTTTCGAAAACAAATTCAAGTCATCACCCGTTAGAGAGAGATAGAGAGTTTCAAACTTCAAGAACACAAACTGGATTTCGTATTCGAAGAAAAATGATGGTTATTTTTTCCTTTAAAAAATTTTTATTATTATTAAAAAATAACAAGAATCCATTTGAGCATAACTAAACAAATAAATGCCTTTCCTGCTAGAATATAAATATGTGTTTCCCAAGGATTTGATCTTCGATTGGTGAAAGTCCGTTTTTAATTTTCATATTTAATTTATTCATTATAATTGGAATATTAAAAGGCCATAAGTTATGGGCAGTTGTATTTATAAATGTTGTGTTTCCTGCTGGGCAAAAAAAAAAAAAACAAAACGAAAATATATATTTAACGAATATAATTATAACTGCATTTGCATATTTCAAGGAAAAGAGAAATTATTTTCTATAGAATAATATATTAATGCACTTTTTTAATTTTAATTAATATGTGCTGTTCCCATCTGTGTAGATATATAATTTAAATGAAAAAGAGAAAGAGAGAGAAGAAAAACACTTTTCCTCTTAAATTTAAAATTTATTAACAACAAATAACTGAGTCAAGTTGCAGTGCCAAATTTTTGTTTTTCTCGTTTTTTTTCTTTTTATTTGCAAAAGTAATTATGTTTTTCTTGTGTGAAAGCTTCTGAAGAGATACATATGCATATGTGTATATGCACCTACAGGGTGAGATAAAAAACTGTAACAAAGTCAAAGCCATAATTTTTAATTTTTTTTTTTAAATTTTATTGAATGAAAGCAAAAAATGACAGAAATAGCATCAAATTTTAGAATAAGTTTATATTTGTTCGAATTGGTTACCTTTGCCACGAATTATGGCCTTCAAACGGCCAATGAAACCGTCATACGCTGCCCGAATGTTGCTCTGTGGTATTTTGGCCTATTCCTGGCGAAGCGCTTGCTTGAGGTGATCAACACTTTGGTATTTTTTAGTGCCAACCTTGCTTTCCAAAATACTCCAGACACAATAGTCCAACGGATTGGTATCCGGAGATTTTGGTGGGTATTGTGCTCTGGAAATGAAGCGAGAAACCTCATTTTGTAACCATTCCTTGGTGGCGCGTGCTGAGTGCGAAGGTGCTGAGTCATGTTGAAATATCTAAGGTCTGCGGCCAAAATGTTTGCGTGCCCAAGGCTTAGATACACCTTCCAGAATATTTTCGCGATAATATTCGGCATTTATTCTGATTTATTCTGATAGGCGATTAATTCGAGCAGCATTTATTCTGATGCCACGGTCGATTAATACAAGCGGAGAGCGACCATCGGCTGTTATGGCGCCGCACACCATCAACGTGGCCGGCGCTTGATTTATGGTGGCCAACCGAAGGTGCACGTTTTCAGCTGACCTCTTCGGCAAATAAAGACGATCATTTTGTTTGTTTACAAACTGATGGACAACGAATGTTTTCTCATCGAAAAAAAAAAACAAATTCGGCAGTTTACCACTTTCGGCCAAGCGAAGCAACTCTTTAGCTCTCTTGAGTCTATTTTCTTTCTGTTTCGGTGTAAGTTCTTGCACTTTTTTGAATTTCAATGGCTTTACCTCGAGCTCATTTTTCAATATTTGCCGAATGGAAAATTGCGATATGTCCAGCTCAAGAGCCATTTTTCGACCACAGCGACGCGGGTTTCGATCAAGTCGCTTCTTTACTTTTATAACCATTTCTGCTGATGTTACTGTTTTCTTCCGTCCACTTCCATGACGTCGAGCTACGCTACCAGTATCACGGTAACGAACGATGGTACGAGACACAATAGATTTATTCACATTAAAATGCTGGAGTGCTCGAACGATAGCCACTTATGGTTTTCCAGCCAAATATAAAGAAGTCACACCATCCATCACGCTTTAACTCCATCACGAATAACTTTTTTCTGGGAAATTCTCACCAAAATGCTTTTGTATGCTTGTAAACTGAAATAACATCTGTCGGACGAGTGGCTTACATATGACAGCAGTCTGAAGTTGGTTGCAGTTTTTTCATCTCACCCTGTGTGCGTGTGCGAACATAAAAGTGGAAAACTTTTGTATGTTAAATTCATTAATTTTACTTAATTTTATATGTATATATATCTTTATGCCAGCCAGCCTGCCTTCCCACCCAATTGGTGGGTTGGCTGCCTGGTTTGTTTCTATATTTCATTTTGGTTACGAGTGAATCATCATCTTTTTTCCTCTTCCTTTTTGATTTCATTGTAGATAATTATTGCAATTTGCCACAGGATCTACTGAAGCAACAACAACAACAACAATCAACGTCTACAAAAGCAACATTAACATCAACAACCATCATCATCAGCAGCAGCAGTAGACAACAACATCAGCCAAAGCAACCACTTTATGGCCAATGGCTAAATGGAAACAAGGCAGAAACAATTTTTAACCATTATTTAAATAAAATAGCAACAAGAGCAACAACATAATAACAACAAAAGTACATATACACACAACATACCATGCAATAAAATACACTGGATGTGTGTATTTTTAATTAAATAAATTTTGTAAAGTGGATCAAACATCATACAAAAGTTCCAGCCCGAACGCCATAACCAATACCAACAACCATCGTAGGCACGAATTTTCACTCAACAATTCCGTTTGTTTATCGCCCGTCGTCACATAAACCAGGAAAAAAGGTAAATTTTATTTCAACAAAAACAAAAAAAAATACCTATTTGATTTTTACAATAATTTTAATTGGTTATAAACGCCAAAGAAAGGAAAACGCCAGTTGGCAAATGTAAATAAAACGCCCAGAAATCATACAAAAATTAAGTGGCGCACACATAGTTTTCGGAGTGTATTTGTGTGTGTGTGTATGTGTGAGAGAGGGAGTAAATAAAATGCAATTAAATGTTAAAATCGTTAAATACATTTTTTTAATGAGCCTAGATTTCAAAGGATTTTTGTGCCGTTTTATGAAAATACCATTGATTGATTGAATATTAAATGTGGGTTGTTTTATTATTACGAGGGGAATCCCAAATAGAGTAAACCCAAAATAGGGGACATATCATATGGGATACACGATATAATTACACAAAATGTTCAGTTCCACCTAAAAAAGGAGTTGCCTATCCAAATTATATCCTATCCGTCAAACTATGGAGGGTACACTAACTTCGCCATTCCATTTGAAACTCCTCGAAATAATCATGTCAGACCCAACTAAGTATATATATTCTTGATCAGTTTATAATTCTAAGTCTACGTCAGTCCGCTAGTCAGTCCATCTGTTGTAATCACGCTATTTTTCGAACGAACTGGGATAGAAAGCTTACTTTTTGCACACATGTGTATTTTGTCACCAGGCAGGTTAACTTTGAATGCGGGTCATTTCGGTCCATGTTTTGCGTATGGCCCCCATATAACAATACCTCCCTATTTTCGGAATTTTGATGATTTCTGCGACATTTTCTACCAGATCTGTTTCCTTTTTTATATCCTCCACCATACTATGGAGGGTATATTAACTTTGTCATTCCGTTTGTAACTCCTCGAAATACTCATGTCAGACCCAACAAAGTATATATATTCTTGATCAGCGTAAAATTCTAAGCCGATTTAGACAATATCCGTCTGTCGGTCTGTTGTACTCACGCTATATTTCGAACGAATTGAGATAGAAGGCTAAAATTTTGCACACATGTTTATTTTTCCAGTAGGCAGGTTAAGTTCGTAATTGGGCCATGTAGGTCCACGTTTTCATATAGCCCCCATATATAAGTAACTCCGATATTCGATATTTTGATGATTTTAGCGACATTATTCACCGAAATTGTTTCAACTTTGGGATTTGAAGTTCGAAATGGATACTACAGCCTATGACAGAAAATTATTTGTGCAGGTCCACGTCTTCATATAGCCCCCATACAACGGTACCTCACAAAATTCGGTATTTTGATGATATTAGCGACATTATTCACCGGAATTGTTTTTTAAGGATTTTATTTTTTTTTTTTTAATTTCCAAATTCGTTCCAAATGGTGGATGGTATTCAAAGTTTGGCCCGGCCGAACTTACTGCTTTTTAACTTGTTGTATATAAAGCTGGTAATAAGTACTACACCCTATAACAAAAAATTTGTGCAGACCTACCTCATATAACGGTATCTCTAAATATTCGGTATTTTGATGTTTTTAGCGACATCACAGACAGGAATTTTTTCAAATTTCGTATTTGAAGATGTTGATGGTTCCTACAAACTATGACAAAAAATGACTTTTACAGGACCAAGTTTTCGTATATTCCCTATATAACTCTCTCCCTCCCAATATTAGGTATTTTTATGGTATTAAAGGCATTATAGACTGGAATTGTTTCAAATTTCATATTTAAAGTGCGTAATGTGTACTACAGTGTATTACAACCTAAGCAAAAAACTTGCTATTCAGGTCCACGCCAACATATAACGATAGCTCCCGATATTCGTTAGTTGGAGGAATTCAAAGACATTATTCACCAGAATTTTATATTACCCATTTTAATTTCGTAATAGACGCTTCAACTTATGACAGAAAATTGCATATGTAGGTCCACGTCTTCCTATAGCCCTATATAATTATTCCTCCCGATATTGTATATATTGATGATTTTAGCAACGTTATTCAACGGAATTGTTTTAAATTTCGCATTTTAAGGTCCAAAAGGGTACTACAGCCTATGACTGAATTCTATTAGGAACGTCTCCAAGACCACAGATATCAAGTAAAAGTCAAATCGGTTGGAAAATATGACCAAGGTGCCATGCACTAACTAGAAAGAGGGTATCATTATATAACTACTGTACCAAAACGTAGACCTATTATATTATAATAATATGCGTTCCTGCATAATAAGAAATCAGAATACCAAAATTTGGCTCAATTAAATGGAAAATATGGGCCGGGCGTAAAAATACTTGAAAGCTATCCCTACAGGGGATATAAAAAACTGCAACAAAGTCAAACGAATGCTGCTCTGCGGTATTTTGGCTCATTCCCGACGAAGCACTTGCTTGAGATGATCGAAATTTTGGTATTTTTTAGTGCCAACCTTGCTTTCCAAAATACTGCAGACAAAATAGTCCAACGGATTGGTATCGGGATATCGGAGATTTTGGTGGCCATTGTGCGCTGAAAATGAAGCGAGGAACCTCGTTTTGTAGCCATTCTTGGGTGGCGCGTGCTGAGTGCGATGGTGCTGAGTCCTCTTGGAATGTTCAAGGTCTTCGACCAAAATGTTTGCGTGCCCAAGGCTTTAATACACCCTCCAGAATATTTTCGCTATACTATTCGGCATATATTCTGATGCCACTGTCGATTAATACGAGCAGAGAGCGACCATCGGCTGTTATGGTGGCCAACCGAAAGTACACGTTTTCAGCTGACCTATTTGGCAAGTAAACACGATCATATTGTTTGTTTACAAACTGCTGGACAACGAATGTTTTCTCATCGGAGAGAACCAAATTCGACAGTTCACCACTTTCGACCAAGCAAAGCAACTATTTAGCTCTTTTGAGTAAGCTCATTTTTCGATATTTGCTGAATGAAATATTTCGATATTTTCAGCTCACGAGCCATTTTTGGCCACTGTGACGGGGGGTTCGATCATGTCGCTTTTTTACTTTTCTGCTGATGTTGCTGTTTTCTTTCGTCCACTTTCTTGACGTCGAGCTACGCTACCAGTATAACGGTAGCGAGCGATGGTACGAGACACAAAAGATTGATTTACATTTAAAGGCTGGAGTGCTCTATCGATAGCCACTTGTGGCTTTCCGGCCAAATATAAAGAAATCACACTATCACGTTTGCATTCCATCACAAATAACTTTTTTTCTGGAAAATTCTTACCAAAATGCATTTTTACGCTTGTAAACAATATAATGAGCTGTCACTGCAATAATTTTAACAGCTGTCGGACGAGTGACTTGGAAATGACAGCAGTCTGAAGTTGGTTGCAGTTTTTTTCACGTCACCCTGTATGTGCTCTAATACGTCTCCAGCGAATATTTGGAAATGTTTTTTGCAATCGAAATGACAAAAATGATATACTCTCAATCTTGAGGTGGAGGTTATAATATTTTAATTTTACGCAGTAAAATAAAATTTGTCAATGGGGCCTTTAATGCACCGTGATGCTTTGTGAAGAACCCTTAATGCGATATTGCAGTTAACTACTTTAAAAGATATGTTCAAAACCATTTAAATACCTAAATATGGATGCTGAAATTTCACTGTCGGGATCTAAAGGCGTACTTTTCCATTACCGAGTAATGGGTATCTTAACCATTTTTTGCCCGTCTTTGCTGCTTACAAATCAATTTACTAACCCATTGTTTTTACAAGAGTATGTCATATCGCAAAAAATTCAGTTTTGAGAAAAACCCCTTTTGAGTAATTGAGTGGGATTTGACTTCCCGAATTAAAAATAAAAAGGTACGGCACTGATATCTCAAAAGTATTTCTGGGTAAAGAAAGTGGTTTACATCTTCCGAAAAACTCTTGACCCTACAAGGATTTTAGAGGGAGTTGTATACATATAAATGTCTTATGCTACCTCTCTTTCTCTCCTACATTTTATACATTTCTATTAAAGTTGATTTTCGGTCTTAAAAATTTACAAATTATTTAAAAATCTCTCATCCGACGACTAAATCTGCTTCCAAAACTCCAAAAAGCTATATGGCCATGATTAAATTTGATATATTTGACTTGCGTTGACTTTGGCAAAATCCGTGAAGTCAATGCTTACATTATTGGTCTCATTCTTTCCACTCTATTAACATTCTATTTTGTCTTTGGTGAATTATTTTTTCCCCTTTTTAATTTTCATTTGAATACGGATTATCCAAGTTTTTTTTTTCATTGCATTCTATGCTTTTCATCCACAATATGTTCATTCACATGTTTCTTAAACACTAACTAAGCAATAATGAAAACAGTAAATGAGCAACTGCAGCGATGGCAGCAGCAGCAGCATCAGCAACCTTCCATTAGCTAATCTCTTTGATTTAACTTTGACAATAGAATTCAAGTGAAATCAGAGACGAGAGAGGAACGAGAAGGGAAACAAATTTTTGTTCAACAGCAAAATTGTGACTAATTAGAATTTTTTTTGCCTCCATCCTCATTCATTCGTGTACAAATCAAGTGAGTATGTGGTTGAGTGTGTGTGTGTGTGTGTGTGTGTGTGTGTGTGTGTGAGTAATTTTCTTTCCACATTTGTATGGGTAGGAACGCTTAACCATGCCGAAGTCATTGTACAAAAATGAACATATCCATGTTGTCGTTTGTAGGAGTCATTGCAGATTGGCTTTAACAGAAAAAGGAAGTCTCGTACAAAGGAACCGGAACATGTACGCATACACACATGTATTCTTCGACCGAACACAAACACACACACACATACATGTTTGCAATGCTTAAAGGAGAAAAAACTGAAACGAACACGTTTCGTAGTAGAATGTCTTGGGCAATACGTGAGCTCAATGTTGCATGTCATTGCTTTGAATTAGTTCGTGGTTTAGATTTGTTCATTCTTTTTTCTCTCTCTCTCTTTTCTATATCTCTCTGTCGCTTAAAGTTTTAATGGCTAAGCATAAAATGAGTTTGGATTTTTTTTGTTTTGCTTTCTTTTGGGGAAGTTTCAAGCA